TTATATTTGCCCATCTGCATCAGATATTCTAAGGGATTGGTATGTCATGTGACCAGGTAGGGTGTAAATGGAGCGGGGTACGGGTGTGAATGGAGCACAGCAGGGTGTGAAAGGAGCTTCACCCGTGTTCATGAAGTACGTGTGAGGTCACGTGCACATTTCTTTGCTTGGAGTACTGGAGAAATGTAGAGGAAATACTGAAGAAGTGCCCATTGGTTGTAATCTCACGATCCACCTTATCCTTGTATCCAAGTCAGACCCTCAACCGCAGTTCATACATACCTTAAGTTTGTTTACACTTCTACAATCCCTAGTTTGCTGACCTTCCTCATACTGTTCCCTTAATGAACTGGAGTAATCTTTCTACCTAAACCTTACGGGGTCAATATACACTACTTCCGAGGACTAAGTTGGTGCACGCTGTAATGGTCCCCGTTGCTGGATATGTGCCGAACCTGAGCCAGCCACCGACACAATGACACTATTGCAGGAGGTAGAAGATCTCCTGAACAATCAGATGACCTTAGGTCTCAGGCAGTTAATTAAGAGTCTCGAAGAAGAGGCTGCCCGCGGCGACGCCCAAGGTCACTTCGAAAGAGTCTTTGCACTGATTTCCGAAGCCAAACAGAAAGCCAAGATCGAGCATGTGGACCTACTACGATGCCTCAAAGATGACCGTGTCAGGCGCCATATCTGCATGGTTGAGGCGACACTGGGAGTGGTCGGCCCTTATTTCAGAGAAATCAAGAACAGCTCCTATGGACTGGATTCGGATCAGCTCTTCGACCACTTCGAACCGCAGATAGCATTTTCTCAGAACATCATGACATGCCTCTGTGAACTGATAACAACGACGAATAAGGAGTGGGGAACGATCTATGAGACCATCCAGTCTTTCCGAACGCAACGGAAAGCGGGAAAGGGTGGGAGGGGTGTGAGCATCCACAAAAATTGGCAGCCATGGGAGTTTGAGAAAGCTTTCCAAGAGATCATCGGACGCAGTCCTAGCAGACGCCGTGCACGTTCAGCGAAAGATACCCCGATGGTCGACGAGAGGAATGGAAAGACTCAAGACGAGGCCACGGGCCACGGAGGAAGAGCGATCCGGCGTGATGCGGATCCCAAAAAGAATTCTGAGGCAGGGTATTACAGCATCGAGGAGACGCCGGGAGTTGAAGAACCTGAATCGTGGAGTGACGGAGACAGCACAAAGGTATCGGGAGATTACTTCGCTACGGATGCAGGTAAGTCATAGTTACACGTTCCCACTTAGCCCTCGCATGACCAACACTCGGGCAGGCGGTTCCAACACTTTTCCGCTCGACCCGCGTAGGGTCGACTTACATCGTCCGCATAAGAGGCAGAGGATTGGTTATAACGATGTGGAGAGCACAAATACTGTCGTGGAGCGTCCTCGCAACCAGCTGCGGAATGTACCAGGACGTGACGCTCTCGTTGGACTTCATCCCAATGACGAAAGTTACAGCGAGGTTCCATTCAACCTAAGCGACAGTGAGCCGGACCAACAGATAGCCTCGAAGATTATACCGCCAACACGTCCGCCCTCCGCTTCAGATACATCCCGACGAGGTCCTTCTATCGGCTCCGCGGAGGGGTTGGGAGCTCCGAACGGATCAATGGCGGGCAACTGGCAGGTCACTAATGCAGGAGAAGCTCAGATGTCTCCTAGCGTCTTCGACCTACTAAGGCCGGGTTGCCTCTTAAACGACGATATCATGAATGTCGTGCTACGGACGTTCCTGCCCGAAGAAGTCCGCCTAATAACGATGCCGTCACTACCCATGGATCCCGAACTTTGGCGCCTAAATGTCAGCTATACCTGGAAGCCCCAGCAGCGTAAAGCATGCTTCCCTCTCTATGTGCCAGGGCATTGGATTCTCATCTTTTTTAACGTCGAAAAATGCGAGGCAACCGTTTACGATCCGTTACATGATCGTAACATGGTAGAGGGGATGAAGCGACTAGCCGTCAAGCTGGTCGTTGCAATCGGTCACGATTGGACGAGTCAAGGTTGGACGGTGGAAGAACTCAAGGTTAGTCTTGCGTAACCTGCACTTGACTCGACCGAGCTCACCAACGGTAGGGTCCACGGCAGAATAGCCATACTGATTGCGGCGTGTACGTTGTTGCTGCTGCACTCCACCAGGCGTGCTCACTGCCTATGCCCACGACGTTTCACGTGAGCCATTGGCGCATTTTGCTGCACCTAGCGCTGTCAGACTCCAAACTTACATTGGCATATGTGAAGGATTTCTGCCGATCTTCAGTGGCTAAGGAGCAGCGAGCCGCTCCGGGCAATCAGCTAGGACAAAGCCCAAGTTCCTACCTTGTTGAGATGCAAAAAGTGTTCAATGGAATTTGCAGCTTCGATCGAATGGCACCCAAGGAGACCGAAGAACGTCTCGGTATCGTGCTTTCAAAGCTCACTGAAGCCCGCGGACATTTCGAGGAGGCTCTGAATGTTCGGCACATCTCGGAGGATATAGACGAGCGGTCTCGGCCAAACCTTACCAAGCTATTCCCAACCGGCGAACTGGAATCGCTGGTGCACAAGTTGAGCGCTCAAATCCAACATGTCAAGGCGAGGATGCATAACCGCAAAGCCCGAGAGCGCGGCTGTCACGCGGCGTATGAGCTGCAGCAGTTTATGGACGCGGCGGCTGCCGACCTAAGGCGAGCTAAAGAAGATCAAGAGCGCCAGAACCGAGAGGCTGAAGCAGCTAGGCATCAGGTTGATATCATGGTGGACCAGTCTAGGAAAAGGTACAGAGAGAAGCAGGATTTCGCCCTGGTCCTTGGGTTGTGATGCCCGATGATTAAAGCAGCACTCGCCGTGATTTACAGAGACAATAATAGGATTACTCCTGAGTCCTGAGACCCCTCTCCCGGTACCATAAGTGCATCTAAGGCCAGAAGAGAGGACACTATTCTCAACATCGAAGCTTCCATATCATCCCAAAGCCACCCAAAATGGACCGTGTTAATGAAAGCTTCCCATGATGAACGAATCTTTGATCTGTTGACGTCGGATTCCACGGTAGGGATGCTCGCGTAGTCGCGGACTGCTTCCGCATTTCCAGCCCCGGGTCGGATCTCGACCGCATCGATAAAACCTGTTCACCAGAATCATCACGCACGGGGTCGCGGTTATGTATTTGACAGATATTTTGACTTAAGATGTTCCATTGAAAATCGGAACGACGGCAGCGTCGCGTGGAAATTTCTAGGCTCGGGATTGGGATGGGTATAGCTCGGATTTTCGGGGCAGGTTCGGGGATACGCACCGGACTCCATGACTTCATTTGTTGGTGTCATAGTTTGGCCCAACAGGTAGGTAAGGAATTGGGAATTTATCATGGTCAACACTAATCAATTGCAATTGTTTGAATGTATCGAGGTCTATTAACCGATTGGGAATCTCGGAGGGAAATGCTAGAAGACGAAGGTCTCGGTCGCGGTGTTCATGTATCTTGTAAGGCTGGCGCTGGTTGGGACCGAAAGTCGGGAGATCCCTTTTACGATTGTAGCATGAGAAGGTGGCAAAGGGTTTCCAAATAGCCTCCACTTCTCCATTCAATATAAGGTTACAGTCGGCAAATTCCCTTCCGAACAATCTACGACTCTCTCCGAAAGAACTGCAGCATGGAGTATATATATTATGTGGCGTCCCTTCGTGGGTACCGATATGTCCTCCAGCTACATCTAGTTCCATTCAATTATTCTAGAGGATCGTCACACACTAGCAGCTTTGGGTTTCCTCACCATGGATTCCAAGAATCATTCATCTGATACGGAGTCTTGGACTACCACAGACCTTGAGAAGGCCTCACGCCCCGTGTCCCCCACCACCACCACACATCACGACCCTCACCTCGAACCAATCCGCTCGGTAGCCACCAATGTCGTCCACCGTCCAATGGATGACCCCGACGGCGGCGACCTCCTCAACCTCCCATCACGAGTCCTCAACGACACTGCCAACATCACTGAGTACACCGAAGAAACGGCTGCGGGCCACATGCTGAAAGAAGTGCGATCCCAAGCAACAGGGCAGATCGAACGATACGAGCTCGTCACCTGGAAGGTCGGCGACCCCGAGAACCCGAAGAACTGGCCGAAATGGAAGAAGTGGTGGGTGACGATGGCGGTGGCGCTCTCGGCGTTCGTGGTCGCGTTGGACAGCTCCGTCATCACAGCGGACGTCAAGGGCCCCCAAAAGGAGTTCGGCGTCAGTTCCACCGTGTCGCTGCTCGCCATCTCGTTGTTCGTCGTTGGGTTCGGTGTGGGGCCGCTGGCTTTCGCGCCGCTGAGCGAGCAGCTGGGACGGTGGCCTGTATACACGGTGACGCTCGGCTTGTCTGTCATATTCATCATCCCCTGCGCAGTGGCGAAGAACATCGAAACCCTGCTGGTTGGACGTGCGCTCGGCGGTATTGCGATCTCGGCTCCCATGACACTGGTCGCCGGGACGCTTGCCGACATCTGGAAGGCGGAGGAACGGGGCGTCCCGATGGCTTTCTTCTCTGCTGCTCCGTTCATTGGCCCTGCGATCGGTCCGCTGATCGGTGGATTCCTCGTCCCGCTCGGATGGAGATGGTTGTACTACATCCAGCTGATCATTACCGGCGCGATTTGGATCGTCATGGCCTTCTTCGTCCCCGAAACATATACCCCGGCGTTGCTCAAAAAGAGAGCGAAGAAGCTGCGGAAGGAAACGGGGGACAACAAATATGTCACCGAGCAGGATTTGGACACGCGACCATTCTCCCAGCAGATGCGGATCTTCCTCATCCGGCCTCTGCAACTGCTCTTCCTCGAACCGATCGTCCTGTTCATCTCGTTATACATGTCCCTCTTGTACTCGCTCCTCTACGTCTTCTTCGTGGCATACCCCATTGTCTTCGAAGAGGGTAAGGGTTGGGAACCATGGCAGACAGGTCTGATGTTCATTCCACTGGCAGCGGGTGTCATGTTCAGCGCGGCGATGAGCCCCCTCGTCAACAAGCACTACATCAAGTTGTGCCGGAAGCACAACAACAGGCCTCCCCCGGAGGTCCGGTTGATTCCCATGATGTTGTCTTGCTGGTTCATTCCAATCGGCCTCTTCATCTTCGCCTGGACTTCATATCCGCGATTGACCTGGGTGGGACCATGTCTAGCTGGGCTCCCTGTCGGATTCGGCTTCATCTTCCTGTACAACTCTGCGAACAATTATCTTGGTAAGTGTACTGAAACGATGATCGTGTTGAACGATGCTAACAATGCTCCAGTTGATTCGTATACCCACCAGGCTGCCAGCGCCATGGCCGCAAAGACGTTGATCCGATCATTCTGCGGTGCTGCTGTAGTGCTCTTCACCAATCAAATGTACGCTGGTATGGGATACCAGTGGGCGACCACCCTCCTGGCATTCCTGGGCTGTGCATGTTGTATCATCCCCTTCTTCTTCTACTACAGAGGAGCGAAGGTCAGGACGAAGTCCAGGTTTGCCTATGCCGGCGAGCCTGCAGAGGAGGAGGTCAAGAAATAAAGGAAATGCATATTCTGGAGTATAGTGGCGACTTGAAGAAGATACCTTTCCACGCAACTTTTGGAGGGCATCTTATAATAATTTGCTTGATGAAGCACTCTTATCCCTTTCAGCGGTTTTGGTCGATCTGGGAGCGATAGAAGACTCCTTAGATACGAGTCTTAGATACATCTTAGATTTCATCCGTTAGATACCATGAAAATATTGGATACTTAATAATAAAAAGTTTGATATTTGAAAGAACCGTTTGCATTGAGTTCGCATTGAGTTCACATTGCGGGACTGGACAAGAAAAACAAGCAGATTTGAATCTATCAGAATGTGACGTTGCCTTGTAGCCTCGGCGCCTCACCCCGCTACCCCACCCAACCCATACATGTAACTTATGAGATCACTCAAAACAAACTGAAGCTTCCGGAAACAATACATTCTAGAAAATCCGTCAAACAACCTACCAGACACCCATTTCCTTTCCAATTCCAGTCAACCCAAAATGGCATGCCCTCATGCCTCCTCCTCCTCCCTCCGTCCTCCTCGCCCCAGCGAATCCGTCTATCGCGAAGATTGCACCATCTGCTTCGACAGTATCGACGACCCCGCCGGGCTCGACGTCTGCCTATCCTGCTACAACGGCGGCTGTGCAGGCGACCGGCAACACAACAAACTCCACTATGAGACGTCCAAGCACCCCCTAGTCCTCAATATCAAACGGACGAGGAAAGTCGTCGACCGCGACGAGCCGCCGCAGAAGCTCACCAAGCTTGCCATCTCGGCGGAGACGGAGGCGGATCGGTATGACACGGCAACGCAGGTGAGGTGCCTGGAGTGCAGGGTGGAGAATGTGGATGGCTCGCAGGGGGCGCTGGTGGAGGTGGTGAACGCGGTGTTGAGGGCCAATACGTTCGCGAAGCAGGAGGAAGTGAAGGCGTGGGAGCAGGAGCTGACGATCTGTGACCATACGGCATTCCTAGAGCAGGAACCGCCGCGGGCGATCGATTCGCAGGATCTGGGGCACTGCTCGATGTGCGAACTGAACGAGAACCTCTGGCTGTGCTTAACGTGCGGCAATCTGGGGTGCGGACGCGCGCAGTTTGGAGGCGGGGGTGGGAACTCGCACGGGCTCGCGCACACGGATGCGACGAAGCATGCAGTGGCGGTCAAGCTGGGGTCGCTGACGGCGGACGGGACGGCAGACATCTACTGCTATGCGTGTGACGACGAGCGGAAAGACCCGAAGCTCACGGAGCATCTGGCGCACTGGGGGATCAACATTGCGGATCGACAGAAGACGGAGAAGAGCCTGACGGAGATGCAGATTGAGCAGAATTTGCGGTGGGAGTTCTCGATGACAACCGAGGATGGGAAGGAGATCAAGCCGGTGTTTGGGAAGGGGTTCACGGGGCTGAAGAACCTGGGAAACAGCTGTTATATGAACAGCTCGTTGCAGGCGTTGTTCGCCATGCCGGAGTTTCAGGAGCGGTACTTCAATCAGGTATCGGGACCGACATCGACCTCGAAACCCGCCGAAGACTTCGAGACTCAAATGAGAAAGGTCGCAGACGGCTTGCTTTCCGGCCGATACTCGAACCCAGACAAGGATGTCAAAGTACCGGAGGGGTCCGAGGAAGTGACCTGGCAGAAAGGGCTCGCCCCAGCCATGTTCAAATCCCTGGTTGGGAAAGGACACGAAGAGTTCTCCACGATGAGGCAGCAAGATTCGTTCGAATACCTTCTCCACCTGTTTGAGATGATCGGCAAATCGAAACACGATGCTCCGCTTCGGAATCCCGTGGATATTTTCCGATTCGCGATGGAGCAGAAGCTTCAATGCAATGCATGCAAGAAGGTGCGATATAAGGTCGACGAGCAAGAGAACATTTCGATTCCGGTACCGATACGAAAAGTCCCCCGAGAAGCGAACGCCTCATCCGAAGATAAGGAGACCTATGAGCCGGTTACTCTGAAAGAGTGCCTCGATCTGTTCACCGCCCCTGAAACCGTCGAATTAACCTGCCCTGCCTGCCAGAGCAAGGACGGCTTCACCAAACAATCCCTCTTCAAAACCCTCCCAACCACGCTGGCGATCAACGCTCGGCGGTTCGGTCTCGTCAACTGGGTTCCCACGAAGCACGACGTCCCCGTTATCGTCGAGGACGAGGCCATCACGCTCGACCAATACCTATCCCCAGGACTCCAGCCCGGCGAAGAGCTCCTACCCGAAGATGCCGACAGGACCCCGAAATTCGTCCCTAACGAAGAAGCATTAACCGTGCTCGAAACGATGGGCTTCCCGCGTGTTCAATGCGAACACGCGCTGCACGCCACCGGGAACACGAACGCCGAAGCCGCGCTGAATTGGCTGATGGAACACATGGAAGACGACGCGATCAACCAGCCGTTGAACGTCGGCGGCAATTCATCCAGCCCCGCCGCCGATCCCGCCTCGGTGGAGATGTTGGCGGCACTCGGTGTTGAAGGGCCGCTTGCTAAGAAGGCGTTGAAGGAGACCAACGGCGATGTGAATCTCGCCGCCGAATGGGCATTTTCCCACCTCGATGACCCCGGTGTATTGGACGAGGTTGCAGAGGAGAATGCACCGACGGGTGACAAGCCACTCGCTGGCAGTGCAGAGACGCCCGCGAACTTTAAGCTGGAGTCGATTGTCTGCCACAAGGGGTCTTCGATCCACGCTGGGTACGTGATGTCGCCATACAAATTTCCATCGATGAAATTTCGCTAACGGAGTATATCAGACATTACGTAGCTTTCGTGAAGAAAGCGCTTCCGGAAGGGTCGCAGTCCGCTTGGGTGCTTTTCAATGATGAGAAGGTCGCGCAGGCGGTCGACGCGGATGAGATGAAGAAGTTTGCATACGTCTATTTCTTACGGAGGGTTTAAGCACGGGACGCTTCGATTGCATAGCATGACATCAATAGCGCATTCATGGAGTTTAGGCTTAGAGCACGGGACAGACCGTTCGCTCGGGGTTGTCTTCCGATAGACATGCATCATGAGGAGCCGATGAGGGCCAACCTCCTTTCGGATTGTCGTACATGTATATCCACCAGGGCCATTGAAAACATGGGTGGATGCCTCGAGTACAAAGGACATGGACACCAGGCACGCAGTGATATCTGTATACAAAGGAATACCACCTCCGCGGACACTCCGCTAAACCTCGGTGATAGGATCTGCCGAGTCGGCGATAAACACCAATCCAGTATCCACGTGACGCGAATGTCCCCACTAAAACGTAATTCGGCGGGGTGATTCGCCACAGAAACTGCGTCCAGTCACTCCAGCCAAGGCTCATGAGGTAATCCGCCCATTCACCTTTTTCCACCACCCAACCTCAAACATCACTTTGATATCCTACATCACCACCTCCATCACCACCTACACCTCCCGACCACGACGAAATTCAATTCACCCCACGAATAGTTACCGATCCCATCGCTCATCGAACCCGGTCCACGCATACCTACACGGCGCCATGATGCGCAGAGCCCTCGCCGTCGCCCCGAAGCGGGCCGGCGCCCTTCTCTCCACCGCTCGTCCATCCATCTCCTCGACACATCGCGTCGCTGCTGCGGCGCCGATGATCGAGTCACGGCGGTCATATCATGAGAAAGATAAGTGTACCCTTTGACCCTCGACACCATCAAGCATCCATCAAAACCCCCTGGAGATCAACTTTGAATGGTTCCCATCTTTTTTTATATTCTCTATCACGAACGCTCCGCTAACCCCCCCATCACTCCTCGACCACTACAGCCGCCCCCGCAACGTCGGATCGATGCCGAAGAACGACGCCGATGTCGGCACCGGCCTGGTCGGCGCCCCGGCGTGCGGCGACGTGATGAAGCTGCAGATCCGCGTCGACCCCGCGGACAACACCATCTCGGAGGTGAAATTCAAGACGTTCGGCTGCGGTTCGGCCATCGCGTCGAGCAGCTATCTGACGGAGCTGGTGCGTGGCATGACGCTAGAGGACGCGGCAAAGATCCAGAATACGGAGATTGCGAAGGAGTTGTGTTTGCCGCCTGTGAAGCGTAAGTAACTAATTTTCCATTCGGAACCTCGAGGACGGGGTTTTTATGGGCCTCGAGGAATGAGGAAGTTCTTTTGTCTGGATGAAGGCTGATTTGCATGCAGTTCATTGCTCCATGCTCGCCGAAGACGCCATCAAGTCTGCCATCTCGAATTATTACTCCAAGAACCCCAACGCCAAGGTGTCGGATCTAGGTGGCACGGGAGCAGCGATGCCAAAGATCGAGGTCGAGAGGGTAACGGAGGGTGCGTCCGCTGCGGCGGCTTGAAATGGAAATGGTCAGATTCCCGCCTGCGCACGGGTGTAGTGGGCGACGTTAGCAGCTGATCATTCAGAATGCTCGTCCAGGGAAAGAAAAATGACGAACACCTTCCGTAATGCTCGTTGCGAGACGCGCTAATTATTTTCTCCCGTTTTCGTAACACTTCGCTCAATCTTTGGCGGAGTCGGGGCGCGGTTTCGAAATTTGTGTACATACTTTTTTCTTGGAAAAGATATGGGTGGCTTCGGTACATCATCTTCCATCAAGAACAATGAAATCAAATACGATATTTCAATGCACGGAATGATGCTATTTGAAGACGGATCTGATGCGACGGGATGTGACTGGTGATTGGTAACGGGGCCGGAGGCGGGCGATGGAACTTACTTGGGTCACGCCATCATCGTTCGATCGTGAACTCTCTGCGAAGGCAACGGCAATTCGATCATGGCCGACAGTAAGAGTGCACTTTGCCGTAGTTTCGTCTCGGCTTATTGAATACTTACTGGTAATGTGTACGCTTGCCCCATATTAGCCCCGTTATCTTCATGATGAAGTTATATAAGGTCCTAATTTACTACATGGTCTGCTCCCGGAAGTTTCAGTCATAACACAAACGATTCAAAGAGCCAACGCTGCCAATATATTTTATATTCAACCCATTTCCAAAATATCACATTTCATTGTTTACAGTTTCTATCAATACTCGGTATCTACATGCAATACGTGTGTACTAGGTGGGCTGTCTACGCTTGACTGCCATAATCCCCCCGGTTTTAACCATCTACCTCCACACTGGATGCTCGATCCTCCCGGCTTTAACATCTTCTATAAAGGTCTCTTAGGTTTGGACGCCCAAGAGTCTGCAAAATCAAATGCAATTCAAGGTCCTCGGATGGTCTCTTCAGCTGGAAATGCTTATGAGAGAGGAGTTGGTCTCTCAACGACGAATTCGTAGGGCTGGTGGTCTTCGCACGGCTCAACATACGTTCGTCGAACTGAAGAAGATGGTCCTGTGGGACTGATAGCTCTGAGTATAGCAGGATGAGACCGAACGCAGACTGCGGTGGTTAGGAGCTAGCATACCATCCATCCTGCCCGAATCGTACTGTAAGGATTATTGAGTAGAGAGGTAGGTCAATAGGTAGTCAAGGTGGCGTCATCAACCGTCAGAGCCCCATCGTGGAGGGAGGCCTGCGATAGACCCAGGGGAAACATAATTAGAAACGAGGAACGGGCACGCTTCTTGAATAGGTCTTCTCATGTATTTTGTTCTTGAAATACGATACCTCCCTCCATCCTCGTTTCCCAGCTGCTAGTCCTTCTCGAGGGTATGTACCGTTGAAAGTTCAATACCGCCGGGAGACACATTATACCTAGTAAAAAGACATTCCCCCCCTCGACGCCATTGCATTTTGCGTGTACCTTTCTATATTCCTATATCATAACCCATCATCCATCATGATACGTGATCTAACGACACGGAATCTGCCCGTCGTCTCTCACAAAATCTACCCCCCGATGCCACATCAAATGTACGTGAACTTCTCGACATTCACCCTCCGTAACCGCTCGCCATATTTGAACAGCAGCCACGGTACTGGCATCATGGCTATCGCCAAAAATGCGAGCAGGGAATTGCCCCACCCGATACCAAGCGCCGCGTACATGGGGGGTGCGGCGAGCGGGAGAACGGCAGCCATGATGGATCGGGTTACCGTGTTTGCTGCGAGTGCAGAGGCGGAATACATGCCATATGCGTCAATGGTATAAGTGGTGATGCTCATCTGCAAGGGTTAGAAGAGTTGAGAACGAAGCGTCTACCGTGGGTAGGGGATTCGTGAGCTGGGGTTCCACTTACGAAGATGATCGAATTTCCCAGTCCTACAAATGAAGTTCCAATGAGCGGCACGATCCAATGTGCACGTGCTTGGGCTGCCCACCCGTACCAGAAGAGACCGATGGGAATACATACAGCGCCAATCAGGCACGGCGGCATGCGATATTCCGGCTTGAATCCGCCCCCGCGCTTCGCCGCGAGACTTTTCAACAATCGGTCGCTGATGTTCGAGAAGGCGATCTGGCCAATGAGGAAACCGACACCGACGCCGACGAACGAAAGGCCGACGATGTCAGTACTGAAGTTGTAGATGCCGGAGAAGATGGACGTGAACGTGGTGAATAGGAGGTAGAAGTACGCGTATACGAGGCCGGTGTAGATGGAGAGAGAGAGGACGACGGGTGAGAAAATGAGCATGCATATCGCTCGGGCGATCCCCCTTGCGAAGTGGACGCGGGGAGGGAGATCGGAGTCGTACTCCGAGCGGAGGGCTAGGTTGCCTGTCTCTTGCCGTAACCTGGCGGCTTTTTTGCGGAGGAGAAATGGTTCGTAGGATTCTCTCCAAATCAGGAAGGAGAGACAGGTGATGACGCCCAGCTACGGTAAATCAGATTCGAGGATTCGTTGTTTGAGAGGTATGGTGAGCTTACGCATATACTGAGAACCCAGAACACCCAGCGCCATCCCTTGGCGGTGTTCAGGAAACCTCCAGCGATGGGGCCAATAATAGGTCCGAAGAGCACGCCATACGAATACATGCTGAGCGCCACGCCTCTTTCCTCCTGTTTGACAATGTCGGAGATGATTGCTCCTCCATTGGTGATCCCCACCGACCCGAAGATCCCTTGAAATAACCTTATAACAATCAGGCCCTCCATATTGGGTGCCAATGCACACGCAATCGTGAATGCGGTGAACCCCACTGTCCCAATATGCTGCACAATATACCGTCCTTTCAACTCCGACAGAGGGGCAAAGACAACGGGCCCTGCAGCGAGGCCAAGGACGAACACGGTCACCACGAATGATCCGAGCGCTTCGTTGGTGGAGTCGAATTGCCGCATCAGTTGCGGGACGCCGGGGGCGAACATTGACGAACAGAGCCCAACAAAGAACGTGAGAGCGCTGACGATGCCGATGTGGCTCCAACGCCGAGAGTTAGGCCAGTTCATTGGGTTTTGCGGATCGTCTACCCCGTCCCATGCCACCAGGTTCGGGTTGTCGGGGGTATCATCGTCTGAAGGGGATATTGACAAGCGTTCAATGCGTGTTTCGGTGGGTTTGGCTTCTTTCTGTGGACAGAATTCCCCGTATCCTGCTTCGAGGTCTTTGCCTTGGATGCCGTCGAACTTGTCAAGGGTACTTGTGTTGCTCTCTTGGGTGGACGGTTTCTCGGGATCGATAGGAGGTGCGGTAGAATCTCGACTGCGGAGCTTGGTAAGGATCGCTCCTTGGTCCTCTACAGACTTCGGTAAACTTGTAATGGTTGTATCCATGGTTTACCTGCGAGTTATTGGGTATGGTACCGACGGGACTGATATGACATTGCAAACAACGGACTTCTAGCGCGGAAATGCAGAATACAATCCTATTGACTTGGAAATAACTCTTGCAAACCCAATTGAAGAAGGAAAAGTCTCATGGCAGAAATATATCTAAAGGTTTCCAGTCAGACTGAGGGGAGACCATTCTGATTGGAGGCCGAAGACGCACAATACCTTAACTCGGTAAGACGGGAAAGACGGAACTCTGTCCATGTAGCACGCTAGAGAAGAATTTACTCTTTCACCCGGTTGTTTTCGGTTCAAATGCACCGAAGGGCTTGTAAATAAGAATGATACAACTCAAAGATTTGTAGGCGAGTTCGGAAAGCGAGATAGGATCGTGGCACCACAAGAATTTGGGTCCTGAACCTCGCCATCTCTTCGTATAAAGAGACATTCATGCAAAGTAGCCATCAGGTAAGCCGCACCCCGCGATATCAGATGGTCATATGGAGGGGCCGAGCCGCCGAGGGCTTACAATATCCTATGGATCCACCTTCGAGACAATGCGATTCGGTCCCCGGATATGGATAGCCACCGGTTTCTGGGGAAAACGTGGAGGAGTGGAGAATTTCAAGTTGGTCTCTCGGCACGTATCATCCACAACAGATCTCCTTCCAGCGTCTAAGGAAGCCGAATCAGGATATGGGTTCCCGATCTGCAGTATGGAATGGCATTTTGATGGTTCGCCCTTAAATCATTCCGATGCCATAACTACTGTAATGCTGTGTGGTTAGTGGTATGTCAACGAAAGATTCGCCAAAAGTTCTCAATCGTCTCCACAACTGTTTGTCACTCCACGTGACAACAACTTCATAGACATCAAAATTGGATTTGCGATTTGCAATTTGCAACCTTCAAGAACGATGATACAGTCATTAGCAAAATCGGCTTCCGCCTAGCACCGCAAAACTTCTTTTCAATAGTTTGCCAAGGAATTTTTTTGCCGAAGCTAGTACCTACGAAGTTAGACCAATCGAACTATGTATGTATTTGAACTCGCCTAAGCTATCTATTGTATGAAAGTTCAGTATTGGTCAATTAACCATTCCAAGGTTCTCGGAGGAATTACTACATGCGTCCAAAATCAGTCTGGCTGTCTGTAGATTTGCCAAATTTTGAGATTCACCATTATATGTAGGTAAAACAACAATCTCTAACAAATGGGATAAAATGATACCGCTTTCTTCGAATGCTTCTGATTCTCTATAGAACTCGACAGTCCTATATTCTGCTTTGGTCAGACCGAAATCTTGCTGAGCTGTAACAGGACTGTACGAACACAAATTCGACTGAGAGACTCGTCAGCCACGTGACGCCAATAAGAAGAAAATGAGTCAGAGGCTCAGAGCAAGGCGGTTTGTCAGTCAACGTATCAATGTCGGGTCGACCCTATCTTCTAAGTTCCACCAACAACACGATCTTTAAAATATACATCGCTAAGGCCGCTGTAGCCGTCCAACCCTCTCGGTAACACTAGTGGTTGAGTTGATCACGTCTCAGGACACTAGAAAGGGTTATAGTCACAATGCCCTCGATACATGACCTCTTACTGGACTTGAAGCAAGGCAGAGACCATAGTAAGCAGACTCTCAAGGGCCAATGGGGCTCGGTTAATGCCGTGGCCTTCTCGCTAGACAGCAGGACTCTAGCGTCGGCATCTGACGACAGGACGGTCAGGCTATGGGACGGCGGGTCGGGCGTGCTGCTGCGGAAGCTCAAGGGCCATTCTAATTGGGTCAGGGCCGTGGCCTTCTCGCCGGGTGACAGGACGCTGGCGTCGGCATCGCGCGACAGGATGGTCAGGCTATGGGACGGAGGGTCGGGCTCGCTGCTGCAGACGCTTAAGGGCCATTCGGACAATGTTCGGGCTGTGGCCTTCGCGCCGGACGGTTGGACGCTGGCATCGGCATCTGACGACGGGACCGTTAAGCTTTGGGACGCCGGTTCGGGCGCGGAGCTCCAGACGCTTACGGACCATTCGGGTGATGTCGCGGCCGTGTCCTCCTCGCCGGACGGCAGGACACTAGCGTCGGCATCTCACGATAGGACGATCAAGCTATGGGACGCCAGGTCGGGCGCGCTGCTACAGACGCTCGAGGGGCATTCGACCTGGGTCAGGGCTGTGGCCTTCGCGCCGGACGGCAAGGCGCTGGCGTCGGCATCTAACGACGTGACGATCAGGCTATGGGACGCCCGGTCGGGCGCGGCGCTGCAGACACTCAAGGGCCATTCGTCTGCGTCGTGTCTGTAGCCTTCTCGCCGGACGGCAGGACACTGGCATCGGCATCTGACGACAGGACTGGCAAGCTATGGGACGCCGGGTCGGGCTCGCTACTGCAGACGCTCGAGGGCCATTCGAGCTGGGTCAGGACCGTGGCCTTCTCGCCGGACGGCAAGACGCTGGCGTCGGCATCTGAGGACGGGACGGTCAGGCTATGGGACGCCGGTTATAATCTTTCTTAACCTCCTCCCGACCTATCTCCTTTGTGATAAGACATACTCTTATACTTTCTTTAAATGGTGTAATTAATGATTGAGTACTAGCACTGCTTTGAAATTCATGATTCCTTAGTTAGCTATCATTCTAGGTAACTACCTATAGTATCTTCCTCTAGTGGCGAATATAATATTGCGCTTTAGGAAAACATGCAGTATTATTAGAAGGGTGTATGTGCGTTCAGGACGGGTGCGTTAAGGGAGAGTTGACTGGTCTAACCGCATGTATAACTACTAGTCTTGGTACCATAATAAGAGCCTTGTTAAACCATTGTAAAGAAATTATTTGGCGCTAGGGTGGAAGCCAATTTCACTAGTGCCTGTACACACAGAAACGATCAAATCGTTTCTGACTCAATCTACCAAGCCGTATGGCCTCCATCAATAACCAAGTTCTGCCCAGTCATAAAACTACTTGCATTGCTCAAGAGAAACAGTCCGGCGCTCTTGAACTCCTCTGGTTGACTCAGACGTCCCATCATATTCTCCGACTCCCACTTTTCTTTCAGACCCGGCACCTCCTCGAAGTTCTTCTCCACCATCGGTGTGATGATATGTCCCGGGCTCAGACAATTCACTCGGATTCCACCAGTCCCATCTTCCTTGATCTTCCCCCACTCCATCGCTAGGCAGCGCGAAAGCTGGATGACCGCTGCTTTTGAACTGTTGTAGACAGGCGTTATCAGCCCTTTGTTTGCGATCAGACCAGACATGCTGGCGATGAGACAGATGCGCCCGCGGCACTTGTACTTCATCATCGCTCGGGCCACCGACGTCGCCGTCATGAATAGGCCCGTGTAATTGATCGCCAACATCTTCTGCGCATCTTCAAAGGTATAGTCCACTGCCTTCGTGATCTGCTGTACCCCAGCGGCGGCAATCAGCCCATCCAGGCGTTCTTTCCGCGCGGCAATCCTGCCGATGGTCTCGTCGAGGTTTTTGACGTCTCGCACGTCCACTTGGCTGTAGTGCAGACTTCCACCGTATTCTTTCTCGATGCGCTCGTGCGCGACGGTGAACTCATCATCGGGCTCGGGTTGCCGATCCAGGCAATGGACTTCTGCGCCGGCCTCCACAAGCGCCTCGGCCATCACCAGACCGAGGCCTTGGGCGCCGCCAGTGACGATGAAGACGCCCCCTTCGAGGTTGAAATCGCGGAACCGTTTGCTACCGGTTCCCTCATGCATACTTTGAGATTCAATCCAAGCTCTTCGAGTAAATGCGAACAAGTATTGCAACTATTCCGATTTGTAGGTGATATTCGGGGTTTGACTGGATGACTTAGGGTGGTAAATATTGATCTGTGGTAAATTCTGATAAGTAGTAGTGATTTAGAATATTATATCTAGTCATTGTACCTCCCTGTGAATACCATTGCGCAGAGTGCCTTATAAATCTTACAAAATGTAGATCTCCGAGCCGCCTCTGTAGCCGCCTCAGAGTCATTGGAAGTTGGATTGTCAGATGATACGAGTGACATCACAAATGGAGGCGCGTCCGTAGACGCGTAGATCTTTTGGTACAGGGCATAGCTAGCTCCGGGGTTAGAGTACCGAAAGGAATGCTCACTCTCCGAATAAAGAAGGGATCAGATGAAGATAGAATCATATCGGCGTTGCGATTTGTCGTGTTGCGTCGGCATCCAAGTTTCGTCATCACGATGATGCTACCTAGTTACTACCAATTTCGCTTATGGGCGGCTCAAAACATCCGGAATGATCAGCAACAATTGCATCGTCAACCATCTCTAGATTTATTGAACTAATTGGAGACTTCATACATGGTCCACTCAATTTTGCGGCACTGGCTTATCATTAAGGGTCTGGTACAGATGTAGAGTCCCTTCCAGACCCTGCGAATTTCCCACATCACGCCACAAAAAGTGTTCCATGGACATCAAAAGTCACGATGCGAATCTGTTCGACCTTACCACAATCTTGGCCGGAATCGAAATCTGCATTGCTCTATTTGATTGGAGCCAAAATCTCAATCTCTTAGCCTCACTTTCCATTATCATAATCCAGCATTTGAGCCTGAATTTCTCTCCATTTAGAGGATGGAATCAGAGTACGGACCAAGAAAGTGGCTGAAGTCCACGACACGAGAAGCATCAAATAGCCTCCACCATATACATCCGCACTGAATGCATTCGCAGCCGAAGTTCCACTTGCGCCGGCGGTCTGAGTAACCGTCACTGTCACCGCATTCGTTTGGGACGATTCCCCGGAACCTTGAGTGACAATTGCCGTCGCTCCACTTGCTCCGGTTCCTAAAGCTGATGGTGATATCATCGTGGGAGTAATCGTCGGGGTCGAACCAGGTACGCGTGTCGAGCACCAACCCTCGCAAATCTGTGCTATCTCACCGAGGAGACGGTCGCGCTCACTGTAGGTGAATTCGGCGAATAAATCTGTGTGACTTGTAGTCATGTTGGCTGAATTGAGTGGCGCCGAAACGTACAGTCTGTATATGCCTAGGTTTCCTTTAGACGGTCGGATTCGGCGCCTCCTAAGCAAAAATATCGCCAGCACGCCATGATCATGCGGCCTAGAACCACTACCAAGCACCAAATCTAAAATCTTAAGCGGTCGCAATAGGCGTATCGTCAACCATCCAGTAGCTATTTCACGGCATAGCTGCATTACAGTTTCATGTACCACAATATCCCCGACACAGAGGAGTCTATTAAAGTTGAGTTACCTGTACTCACTGCGCCTCCGCTAATTCCATGAATTCGCGAGCACCGTTCAGACGGATTCAGACCGGCTTTTGGATGATTCCCATACAAGGATGGAATACCAGATACCCTAGATTCTGAAGTACGACATGGCTCTTCTGGCGCCGTGATAGAGTCCAGGAAATCTTTTATGGCTTGCTCCCATGGCTTGAATTAGGGAGGTCCGGGCATCGATGCCCTCCCTGTTCTATGGTATGGTCATTGCGACCTTTTGAGGTTGAACGCAACATTGTTCATGACTGCTTGAAAATGCATGGCTTGTGTTGGAGTCTGGAGGGTCCCTTCGAGGCCATCAAGGTACGATCAAGTGAAAAGGATTTGTGAAGAGACAACGCGAAGAACATCGACTAGAGCTTTAGCAAAGACTTTGAATATTGAAATAGTGCCATGAAGGATATAAAGAAACCATTTTCGACACACGAGACTGGGGGTCGGTTTGTCATTAGGATTAGATGATGGTTATTAAGGCGAGTTCAAACATTACTCATGAATCACCATTACCCGGCTCTCTTCGAACGGAGCATTGTTTATCATTCAAAGCAAGAAGATATTGCTAGAAGTCGGTTTTCCAGAAATCAGAAGCCTCAGTGCACGATGTGAAAATCAGCGGAAAATGGAGTCAGGTACGTATCTCTGGTCTGCACAACCAAACATGAAACGCCATTTACTGTTCAGATTGATGATTGATCATCGATCAACATCACTATCCTAGTACCACCTACGTCAATCTCCATGTCGCTTATCTTGTACTACTATGTACATCAATTAGCCAGGATAGAAAGCAACAGTATCGTTGCAAGCAAACGTCGATGACTAGGTGCTTACCAATGCGAGCTTCGTTGGAGCATAGCGCTATATGCTATTCAAAGCGACTGTTGAGATGATGATTGATGCTTCATGAACTTCAATCGGATTTCCAGTACGGAGTATGCTATTTAACTCTTGGAACTAGGGTGGGTGAAAGATTTCAATGAAATCTATTGCTCTTGTAATTTTCATGAAAGATTTCCGGAGGTCTGGAAATATTTCATGCCAAGCTTTCGTTTACTAATTTGGATGGCGGAGATAGAGTTAAGATGGTGAGATTTTGAGGAGTTTCACGGAGTTCGGTTTTGGTGCCTAAGGCTGCAAGGCACCAATATCTAATCTAACCAAGCCAAAATAGGACTAGCGTAAATTTCGGAAAGAAGCAATTTATATGCATAATTTAAATTCTATCAGTCATCCGAAGAAATATATATAAATTACTGAAACGTTTGAGATAGTCTACTAAAGGGAGGAGGCGGGATTTTATGTACCCGCAGCCTCAGGGCTACGGGGAAACTTTTGCCCGCGGCAGACCAGATAGAATGCCGTGCTCATAGACCCGAAAGGGATCCAGATAGTACGTTAAATTGATTCTTATTATTATATAAATTACTGAAATTCAACCACCCTACTTGGAACAGAACCAGATGCGAGAAACGAGACAATGGTTCTTTTGTATAGACACTCTTTATACTCAGTTTCTCCCTATCATCCATGGCGGTAGCACCAATTCTCCCGACCACGAGTTACCGTTCAACGGACTTCCATAAGCAAACAAAGCAGGCTCCGTTGTGTGACTCTGAAGTCCGAATAGATAAACAAACAGGATGGGAGGGATGGGTAACTGTCGGCAACATCATTCGCACATAGGGCATGTTTTGCTTACACTCCGTCCCACCGATACATCCTTCAAACAATGATATCATTACTTCTAACAAATTTTCGTCTAACTAACTTAACTAATATTATACCGTTTATAACACTGGATGAAGACCTTCCGACGATCGCGCTGTGCCGGCCTTCCAGGAGATCGCGAATGACATCCAGATTCTAGAACAATGAGCGAACGTCAATCGACGAAATCATTACCGATTTTGTATCTTTACAAGCATATCATCGTCAAATCGTCATAGAACAATGGAGATTCCAACGTTCAAGTTGGATCGCTCAGAAGTCTGAACTGGCTGATCAATCATCAATCATCAATGCATCCACCTTCGCCGCTTCGCGATCACCGCCGTATCGAGACTAATTATCGAGTTCCGATGGGGACAGTGGGGCAAAACTATTGGATAGCACGGCCTGCCCTAAGGCCGCGCACCCAAGTGTCCACCGTCAGCGTTTTAAAGTCGAGTCTTGTTGGCAAATAAGAGAGCCTTATTAGTCTTGGGTAGTGGACTATTCTTAGAACTGGGGCTCGATCAAACTATCGAAGCTCCCTAACATGGCGCCGTTGAAAATTCAGGATGCACTGCCACACTCAACACCAAGTTTTCGAGTTGACTTGCAGAATGTGGTTTTCCTTGCTCAGCTGAATCGCTCAACAGGAGGCAATCAGGCATCACGTTCGGAGAATTGACGAATAGAGCCCATCCTGGACTCGAACCAGCTGGCTGCACCTCGTGTCCGTCCAAACGGCTGGTGACCTGCCCAACTGATCACAACAAAAATAGAACGCTCGCTGTTCTTTGAGGCTCTTTTCTTTCCGCTCGATGTCCCTCATGAAGAGTCGGATAGAGATTTTGGGTGCAATATTTCGGAAACATGAGATTTTGGGCGCGCATATCATTGTTGTCGGAATGGAGCGTCAATACTACTGGAGAGCATCCATGAGTGGGTATCAAGCACGGAAAAGGGACCGCACCGGGGTCTCACTAAGATTTAGTTGCGCTCCAGCCTACGGGTAGTCCGTTACAGGCTGCGCCCGTGGCGTGCGTGGCGGCTGTTCAGGGCTTTTAGTCGTGTGCCTTGTTTTCTTCCTCCGTCCAGCCAGCACACCACCTGAATCAGAAGCTGGAAGCAACATTGGTGTAACCATAAGCTCAAAAGGACGATAGTCCTGCGACAGTTCTGGTCTTCTTCCATCCTGTCTGTTTTCCTGTTCCGTCTCACGAATTTACGATCGCTTTACCTCGACCCCTCACATCGTTCGCTACGTCCGACGAGTCAAAGTTGAAACCTTAACCCTGAGTAAGTAAGTGACCCATACTCCTGGAGCTCAACCAAGTCACCCTCCCCACAAATGCAACATTTGGCGGCGATGGCCAATCCGGTCCAGGCCACGGAAACCCGCTTGGATCAGTTTGCTGGCACCCGGCCCTGCCTAGGGGCGCCATCCAGTCTCCTGGCTTCATCTCCTTCCGAGCCTGTTCTGTCTTCGGACTTGAGACACTCCATCCTGCATCTTTTCCTTCTCACTTCACACCCAGCACTCACTAAATACTCTCGTTGCGTTGCGTTTCATTGTCCACTCTCCATCTGGTCACTCGTTCGGCCATTTCATCTAACCCATCGTTTCTTTAGGCCTTTATTATATATCCTTCGTTTCTATCCTACCACGACTTCTCCCGGACGCGCAGCCAAGGTTGATCCTTTGCGGTACTGCCCTTTTTAATCACAATTTCATCGAACTATTTGCAAAAACACATTTCGATCGAAACCGCGTCTGGTCGTCCATTCCAGCGCAAATCTTCGACAATCGTGTATAAAATTGGATCTTCCATCTGAGGATCGTCCCTGAGTCCTTGCTTCACATCCGAACCCCGAGGGTTCAAAATGCGACGATCGTTATGGGCTCTAGCGGCCTTGCCGCTAGTTGCTCGAGCTGACGATATACTGCGCACGAATGGTTATAGCACATGTTTTGACAGCTCCGATATCAAGGTCGAGAAGTTAAACATCGAGTATAACCGAGTCACCGGAACTGTGGACTTCGATGTTGCTGGAACAAGTGCTAAAGAGCAGAACGTGACGGCCGCCTTGACCGTCACGGCATACGGAGTAGAAGTATACAAGAAAGACTTCAACCCGTGCGAGAAAGAGAACTATGTCAAGCAACTATGCCCAATTCCATCCGGCACATTCACAGCATCTGGCACCCAGAATATTCCTTCTGAATATGCCGATCAGATTCCATCAATAGCATTCTCCATACCAAACCTGGATGGCAAGGCGAAGCTGGAGCTGAAGACAATGGAAGGCGGACAGGATCTGGCATGCATCCAGTCAACGGTTGGCAATGGCAAATCGTTGGACGTACCAGCGGTCCCATACGTTGCTGCCGGCATCGCTGGAGCTGCACTCCTTCTCTCGGGTGCCAGCGCCCTTGCAGGTGGCTCAGGTGCTGGTAGTGGAGCACCCAGCCCAACTTTCTTTGAAACTGTCGGTTGGTTCCAGTCGATGGCCATGAACGGCATGCTCTCGGTCCAATATCCAGGCGTCTACCGAAGCTTCTCGAAGAATTTCGGGTTCAGCACCGGTCTGGTGACCTGGGACGGGCTCCAAAGCACGATCGACAACTTCCGCGGGAGGACGGGCGGAAACTTGACCGAGAACTCGATCGCGTTTCTGAGGAATGTCACGTTGGTTTATCCAAGCGGCAATATGACCAAACGTGCTATTGAGAATGTCTTTCTCTACGCACGTGAGGTTAATACTGAGATCTCGGCCGCGAACACCACCAGCAACGGGACGGAAGCCGAAGACAAGCCTATCCATTCGGTCGAGGGTATCCAGGCATTCGCCGAGTCGCTCGCCATTCCGAAAACCAATACGTTCATGACCGTCCTCCTGATCTTTGCCTGCGTCATCGGTGCCATTACCGTTGCCATCCTGCTCTTCAAGGTCATCCTGGAGATTTGGGCCCTTTTCGGAACCTTTCCAAAAAAGCTTGAAGGATTCCGGAAGCGATACTGGATCACTCTTAGCAAGGCGATTACTTCACTCATTCTGTTGCTCTACGGTATCTGGACGATGTACTGCGTGTATCAGTTTACCAGCGGCGATTCCTGGGCCGCAAAGGTTCTCGCAGGTGTGACACTTGGAATCTTTACACTCATTTTGGCATTCTTCACATTCCGAATCTGGCAAGTTGCACGCAAGTACAAGAAGGCCGAGGGCAACGTGTCCGGCCTTTATGAAGACAAAAACACCTGGGTGAAGTACAACATCTTCTACGAGAACTACAAGAAGGGTTGGTGGTGGATGTTCATTCCTTTGATCATCTACATGTTCGTGAAAGGCTGCATTATTGCCGGAGCGTCGGGAAATGGATTGGTCCAGGCGAGTGGTCAGCTCATCGTCGAAGCCCTGCTGCTTATCCTCTTGCTCTGGTCGAGACCGTTTACCTTGAAGTCAAGCAATTGGATCAACATCATCATCCAGGTTGTGAGGGTGGCTTCAGTTGTTTGCATTCTGATCTTCGTGGAGGAGCTTGGCGTCACTCAGACTACCCAGACAGTCACCGGCGTCGTCCTTGTCGTGGTGCAAGGTGTTCTGACTGGTGCTTTGGCCATCCTGATCGCTATCAACGCCATTGTGCTTATGTGCAAAGCGAACCCGCACCGAAAGCAGCGCAAAGAACAAGGTAAGCCCAAACTGCAATTCTCCCCCTAGATCCCGCTAACCGAACTCCTTACAGAAAAAATCAACCGCGACTTCGATAACCTGACCCCTCTCGACCCCCGCAACTCTCTTCTCATGGACCCCAACGAAGCCAAGAAGTTCAACGGAAAAACCTCCTATGAGCCGCTCCCTGCTAGCGACACGTTCAACTTCGGCCCTGCATTTGGCCACAGTCGGGATGCCAGCCGGGAAGTGCTTCTCCAGGACGCTGCAAGCGTTGGGACAGGCCGAGCAGTCAGCCCACCCCGGGACCGGGAGCCACGACTTCCAGATATCGAGATGGGAGGATACGGAGGGAGGTCATTGCGCTAGACAGAATTTGTTTGAACGATCGACGGCGTATGCACGCTAGAGCCATTCCTTAGCATTTTGGTATTTGGCGACACTTGGGTTGGAACTAGCGATTGTAGTAAGGACGAGACGGGATTCACAGAAATTCGATTTTGCTTCAACCATGATCATATGAGACGTTAGATAGTAAGGCTATCATGGTCTCAAATTTACAGACTTGAACATACAGCCTCCCATTTTTTGACGATTTTATTAATATGTGCCTGTTGAATAATTCTGCCATTGTTTTGCAGATGAATAGGGTAACGTATTCTTATTTCAGTTCATGGTGGAGCTGATGTCACCAGGGGATGAGATGATTTTTGACAATTTAAATTTTTGGCATATCAACACCCCTCCATACTGTAGCAACTCCGCCCAATAGTATTCAGAATTGAATATATTTCGTTTAGATCATTGAACTATTCCAGATTATACAAATCTTCGAGTCAGTTCCTAAGATGGATGTCTGTTCTGCCTGCCAGAATCCTCTAATCCTCGAGATCGAGCCGGACTCGGATGAAGAAATGCAAGAAGCTGGACCCAGTACCGGAGGAGCCACCACAACAGTGCCGGACTCCGTAGAGTTACTCGCATGCGGAGACAAGTTCCATTGGTAATCCCCCTCAATCTGTTTGACCGAGCAATTACCAACGTCTATCTACAGGCAATGCCTCCTCGATTCCTATACGTACAACACCTGCCCAAAATGCTCCGCTCCGATTACCTCCACGAACGGTCAGGGCGGCGAACAACTCCTGGTCAACCTCGACAATGAAGGCGGACTACAAGCAAACCTCGATATCCTCCCTCTACTTGCTGAAGAAGCCTATTTGCGGACCTACCCGGAGGAGCGGAAACCACATGCATTTCTTGAACTCTGCCGCGGTGGTGACGAGAACCTTGACGACCTAATCGAAATGCTCCAGGACGATGACGAAGGCGTGGATGAAGAGGACGGCAGCGCAACTGCCGGCGCGGAATCAGGACAGCCAATCGACATACTCCGCTACCAGGACACCCTTGGCGATCTCCAGACGGCGCTCCATGCCGCTGTGGCCAGTGGAAGCAGACGGATCGTGTGTCTACTGCTCTACTTGGCATCCACGCTGGACCTTCAAGAGTTTCCGGACGAGGTGCATGCATTGGCGGTGCAGTATGACATTACGAGACCGAGGCAGGATGGCAAGGTGGATATTCGGTCCCTAAAAGACACAGAAGGACGAACAGCGGCGATGTTGGCGCAGGAAATGGGCGATACGTGGGCGGACGGCACTTGGATACGGTGGCTACAAGGTCATGGGCCTACTCCTTGAAATTCTAGGAACGAGCATGACAGTGGCATCAAAGCGCGATATGCTACGCTGATTTTTGGTCGTCCTACGCGGACGTCTAATATCCTACGCTGAAGGGCCGCTGATGGACGTCGTGATCTCGCCACTCTCGACGTACACGCCACTGAAATACCAGTCCTCTGGAGCGGTGTCCGAGGATCCTCCACGTGGAAGCCGCAGGACACCCAGATGCCAATCCGCACCATTCTAAGATCTTTCAGGGACGGTCTGGCGATATTCGTCGGGATCATACGTACTAAAGATGTGGAAGCAGACTGCGGTGGAACTACGACCTTTAGTGGGTCGGCGCCGGTGGATGCGTACAAATCAACTGTCTGGGTCCCGAAGTCCTGCTCATGTGGTCAGGATAGCAATTCGGGAACGTTAAGAAGGGCAGACCGTACAATGTCATAAGCAAAGTTATACCACGCATCGGGTGTGAACTCCGTCTTCCACTTGCCCTGGCCACCGATCATCCACTGCAAGTTGGGATTCGACGTCCCTTGTTCCCCATCTATCAAGTCATTAGCCATCTCCGTGTTTCCCATCTCGCCGTGCTCAAATACGTACTACCCAACCATACTTCATCTTCGTGAAGTGGCTTTCACTGTGTTTCCATTAGCCTGCTTCTCTCATCCATGCTCACAACCCAACACCTACAAAAAGTTCACCTGATGCTCATACTCAGCATTCGGAGGATTCAACTCCGTCCGCTTCATACTAAAATGATACCCCACCCTCCCGGAATTAATCGCCGCCTTCGTCTGCGGAATCAGCCCCGTCTGCCACATATCACTGTTCCATTTCGCCGTCGCGTCCAGCGTGATCTTGACGCCCTGCGTCGACGCCGTATCTGCGGGGTTCTTGAAGTCCGGAGATAGGTTGACGTAGTTCGTCAAGTCGCCGGTGCCGTGGATGTAATATTGGAAGGGCCCGACTTGGTTGGACTAGGACCATTTGGAGAGGTTAGCGGAGCTGGTGAGGTCGTTGAAGCGGCCGTCCTAGAGGAGGGTGCCTGCGGTACGTTTAGTCAATTACTTAAAAGGAGAACTTCTAGAAAGTAAGTTACCTGCGGAGGCAACGGCGCCGAAAATCGCCTGGGATAGGAGGTGTTTGGTGAGCATTTTGAGGTTTCGAACGACCAGTTCTTTTCAGTACGCATGCAGCTGGGAACACATGGCTCGAATACATAGTGACTTTCTCTATATTTCCGGTTGCCATATTCAGATATCGACTTTTAGCAAGTCATATTGACAGGGGCAATCCTGAATGGAACTTCCGTACCTGGTTGAGACAGAAGGCTTAATTTCGTGCTTTCATGTAGATTACATGCAACTACCTACGGAGCCCGGAGATGACGAAATAGGAAATCCTGCAACCACGATAGATATCACCTCATTGTAGGATGTTCTCAGTGTATTGTAAATCACTGATTTCCGAGGATTTCTAACCAATTTCCACGATAGTAAAAATTTTCACCACAGCAATTGCACCACTGACCACAGCAAGAAAAGGCTTTTATTCATGTCTCGAGTAAGCAGTGATAGACCGCCACTATTCGACTGGTAATACTGAGTAGTTGTAAGAATGTACAGTTACAAGGGAGGGTTAGCGTTCGTCAACAGCTGTTCAAAATAGGCTTGGAACCAATTCCCTGCCTCTGGTGCCGGCGTCAGCGACGACCCGGATGCACATTTTCCATCGAAGCGGGTAGCAGAGCTATCCGATGTGCCATCGCTCTCCCCGCCGGGTTTGACCCAGACGAAGGCATCGACAAGTGGATCGCCGGTCTCAGCAGTAGGGCGGGCGCCGAAGCCGGTATCTTTAATGTTGCACCAATCGCCCCAAATCTGTTGTCCGGTCGGTTGTTTTCCGTTGCGGCCTAGGTGTATGGTTAGTGAAAGGAATATATCAATCAAGAAGGGGTCACATACCAGTATCGACGATGAATTGCGCGGGGAAGCCATTCTCCTTAAGTACTGGAGCGAAGCTGTTGATGTACTTCTTCTCATCGCAGTTCTCGTTACCTTGAGTGTATGAAGGACATTGGGCAATGGAGAACGCGTTATAATTCGCAACATTTGTAACCAACCCACGGAGCTGTGGTGGGCTTCCCGCGTCTTTGTATACCTGGGCGAATAGCTGCGCGGCCGGAGAGAGATTCGCTGGCCATCCAAGCCATCCGCCATGTGCAGCGTCAAGGTACATGGAGACGTTTGGGAGTGCGAGGTTCTTGATCGCGTAGTTGATACCCTCCTTGTAGGCGTCGGCCGCGCCGGCGCATTTGGAGGTTCCCAGGTTTGTAATTAAGTTGGCCAAGCTATCCGGTTCTTCGAGGCGTTAGCCGGAGCAAAAGGCCCAGAGCATATGTACATACCGATGATCAGGATGAACCTCAAATCAGAGAATGCCTTGACTTCGGTGACGATAGAGTCAATGTAAGCCTTGTACTTCTCCACTCCGTCATCCGCGATAGCCAGCTCTCCGTTGGAAGCGAGGGCCGCACAATCACGATCTGGAAGATTGTAGACCACCAATGGAAAGGCCACCTTTTGGCCAGCAGCGTTCTGTTTTTGTATTTCTTCGGCATATCCTTTGACCGAAGATACCTTCTCCTGTGTGTCACTGCAGCTCCGAGTTAGCGCTGCTTTTTAACTATTCCTTGTGATGAAGACATACAGCCAAACGAAAGACGGTACTTTCGCCGCCGCAGATGCCTTCGGGATCAGTGCTGTCTTTCCGCCGGTTTGCAGGGAAGGAATAGCGATAGAATGCACTTCCGATGAGTAGTATGGGTTGACGTAGAGCTCGTAGCCAGCGAAAGGGTTGCCTTCAACTGCAGCCGTCGTAGTGGAAGCTTCAACTGCAACTGGAGATGGAGCCGCCGTAGGCTCAGGCCTAGGTTCTGGAAGGGCCACAGCAACTGCACCAGAGGCAAAGACGGTCGCCACTGAAAAGAGTGAAGTCTTCATGATGAGATCTGCCTAGAAGGAATTTGAAGGAATAACTAAATGTTTACGCGCAGCAGGAACCAAACTGAAGGCTTGAGATGATATATATTTGTCGGTTCGGCTCTGCAGACCAAAGCCTAGGGCATACGGATCGGTTCTGCAAACCAAGGCCCAGGACATACTGTTCGCTCTATCGAGCAACAATTTACTCATCGTACCATAACGGGAACGAAGCCGGGAAGGTTCAGACCCATTGGTGCTTATTGGTGGAGAAGTTCATCGTACCTAAGTCCTGCGCATTGTAATTGAATTACCATCGTGCAGAGGACATTTCGCTCCATTTGTAGCGGAGGCCGAGCTGCCGGGGATACAACTGTGGAGTTTGATCCTGGCTCCCCCGAAATTGGGGGGCGTGATGTGTAGAAAACCATTCACCAAGCCAGAATTGGGAAATACCCATTGCGACGGCCCTAGGAGCTAGAAACGAGATCAACCAGGTTCGAAAAAGTATAGAAGGATGCCATCTGGTCAGGAAGTCACGATTGTTATCGCAAGACAGGTTGGATATAAGCCGATCCGGGTTAGTCCTGTTTCTGATCTTCCATGAACCTCGATTGTTCGCTAGATGGCCAATGGGAGCTACAGATCATGGGGATTTGGCCATAATACAAGGACGTCTCAATTGCTGCTTGATCCCAGATAGATTACGCTGAACAAGGATTGGACGCGGAGGGGGGCCATGCTGTACCGAACTTGACCCGCCATATGAAGACCAGGAAATGAAGGAAATGACTCTGGAAAAGAAGGAAGAAATGGCTTAGGAAATAATTGGACTCGGAGAGGACTGAAACCCCATGTGAAGGCACTGCCAGAACATACCTGTACCCAGGAGAGGTGCAAATTCACACTTCTAGGATGATCCACTCGGTTGATATGTGGACATAACGATCCTTTGATAGTAGGTTCGGATGCTCTCCATAAGTCGATTATATGCAATTGCAAACTTGAATGATTTCCGTCATAGTTGGAAGTGGAAGAGAGAATCATAATGTCAATCGACGAGATTTTGATCAGAAAGCTCCCACGTGATATTAAAACACGTGATCTGAGGGTCATGGTCACGGGGTCCAGGCAGAACTGACGATTGATTGGTCCAAGCGACTGTTCGGTGTTCAGTTAGCGGCAGAACATCGCGTCCAAGCTTCTTCCTCCAACGCTACCGGTATTATCGTTCTTTGTTTATGAATATTCTTGTCCACAGAGGAAATCAATCTTTCATCCTCCAATCTGACTGCTCCAGTTCTATGGACGTGCATATTTCATTGGATCCTTTTTGCCCTTTGCGGTTTGATTAGTCCTGCATCTGGTAGTCTCTTCACCACAGCGTGAGAGCAATCCGCGACGTCATCATCAAAACAATCACCCCTCCCGCCACATCTACCTCTCACTCACTTCACCATGGCGGACGAATACCTCTCACCGTCCTTCGACCCATCGAAACTCACTGTCCCTCAGATCCGCGGGATTCTGGTGGAACACAATGTGCAATATCCATCTGGAGCGCTGAAGCCACAGCTAGTAGAGCTCTTCAAAAGCAATGTTACGCCACAAGCAGGCAAGATTCTAAAGTCACGACAAACCGCGAAACGATCATCGAAAGGGATCATCGATGTCCCATCCAGTCAAGCGAGTACGGCCGACGACGATGAGCTTGGGGAAATGCTTCCTCCCCCGAAGCCGTCTCCGGCGACGCGCACCAGCCGACGCACCACTAGGAGCAGCGCTGAACCCGATACGTTGGAACCAGCGGGAAAAACTCCAGGAAAGACTCCGAGGAAAACGCCGGGGAAAACACCGGGCAAACGGCCATCGAGCAAACATGCGCGGTCGGAAACAGAGTCGGAAGTCGAGAAACCGAAGCAAAGACGAACACGCAAGAGCGAGGTCCCGAATGTGAAAACCGAAGATCCTGAGCCAGACATGTGGAGCAAGCTTGGGGACGATAGCCCGTTTTCCGCTGAAAATCCATTTCAAAGTGGTGGCAGCTCTCCGCCCTCGGCGCCACGAACGGCGTCCAGGAGTCGAACGAGGAAGACACTGGATGGCGAGCAGAGAGCGAAAAGGAAGAGCAGTGGCGACAAGAGACGCGTAACCACGCCTGCTTTGCCATTTCATGAAGATGGATATTCCGTTCCCACCAGGACTACATTCGAGATGCCTGTTCCCCGAGTGAAGAATCGCAAGTCGGAGCCAGTGGTTGAGGCAGGCGAAGAGTTCACACCGGAAGAGACACTGGATCTTGTCAAAGCCGAATCGGAAAGCCCCCAACTGCGCGTCGCGAGACGACCGCGGGAGCGCAGTACGTCGAGCACAGCGGGCGGCCTTTCCATTTTGACCATATTCCTCGCCCTGTTTGCGGGGCTTTTCCACTTATGGCGTGAAGAGAAAATGCAGGTTGGTTACTGCGGGATTGGTAAAGAGCCTGCCACCGAACTGGCGGGTGTTCACGTTCCCGAGGCGGTTCGGGAGAACCTCCTCCATTGCGAACCATGTCCGCACCACGCATTGTGCTACGAGAATCTGGAGACGACTTGCGAGAAAGGGTTCGTTCTGAAGCCACATCCGCTGTCGCTAGGCGGCTTGGTGCCGATTCCTCCCAGCTGTGAGCCAGATGGCCTGCAAGCACGGAAGGTCAAGGCGGTTGCGGATCGAGCCGTGGAGGTAATGCGAGAGCGTAACGCCGCCTTCGAGTGTGGCGAGCTTGTCGATGAGCAGGGCAAACATCAAAAGTCACCGGAGATATCTGAGGAGGAGCTGAAGAAAGAGGTTAGCCGCATGCGCAAGAAGCGAGGTGGTATGAGCGATGCCGAGTTCGACGATCTATTTTCCGGTGCGATCCCTGAGATCCTCAGTCGCGATGAAATTGCGGTCGGAACTGATGGGTAAGTCTCCTCTCATAAATCCCCGTGCCCTGTGGTACAAAACCTTGTTGTAAATCTGACACTGACCAGACTCGTTGCTTCTCCTACAGAACCAAAGGACGCACCCTCTCCAGCAACTCCCTCGCCCGACTCCCTGTCAGCTGCGCTGCCCGACGATGGTTTCGACAGCAAGTGGCGCGACATCTTCTCAAAGTTGTGATTTTCCTCCTCACGGTCTCCTCTGGCTTCTACGCCCGGCACCGCGTGCAGTACCAGAAGAACGTGGAAGCGAAAGCCAAGCAGCTCGCGCGCGTGGCGATGGACCGCCTCGCGAACCAAGCCTCGCTCAACGCGTACGATGAGCGCGCGCACCCCGACGCGTATCTCAGCATGGTGCAGCTCCGCGACGACCTCCTTCGCGACGAGTTCTCGGCGACGCGGCGCGGCAAGCTGTGGGAGAAGGTGCAGAAGAAGGTGGAGAACAACTCGAACGTGCGGCCGACGACCAAGGAGACGCGGCACGGCGATATTAGCAAGGTGTGGGAGTGGACGGGCGCGATTGAAGATGCGAGGAACACGGAGAAGAGGGCGAGTGGAAGGTTTAGTCTGGGGCCGTTGGAGGGGCGGTCGAGCAGGAATGAGAGCCCGAGTGTACATTGGGAGGATCAGACGAATGGCGCGCCGGCTGAGGCGAGGCGTTGGGATGAGGGACGGCCGATTTACTGATTGAGGGTTGTCTAGTTGCGCACATGGCGTTCATTGGGATGCGGTTTCGGACATTGATTATATCCAGGACGGTGGTTCAGGCAACGAGTCGAACGCATGAATTTCCTTTGTTGTTGTTCTATTGATCGATACCAACTGTACCTAGTCACTAATCATATCAGAACCAATCCAACCAGTTCATACATCATGTCCCGATTAGCATACCCAGCCGACGTACTCCATTGTAAACAGCTTATGCGCTAAACAATAAGGTATGAATAGTTAGGGAAATTTGGAGTAGGATAATGGAACCATTTTCCATCATGCTGTTAATGCCTATGTTTATGTCTGTTCAGGGTAAAGTCTTCCCACGTTTGTATTACTTATCTATGCGACGTCAATCGGTCCGACCCCTACCGGGCCTACACGTTGAAGTGGTCATTAAATACCTTATTATTCCAACTCATATTCACTTGAGGTGCTGACGGAAATTGACTGCCATATATTGGAAGTTACTATGGCAAGGAACTCTACATATGCTCACCACCCCATCACCTTCACAAATCCAATCCACATCGCAACCTTACCATCCGACCCCCTCACCTCCTTACTATCCCCCTCGCCCTCCTCCTTTCCTCCCCATCCAACACCCACTCCACCCCTCCTTCCTCCCCCACCTCCCCCCACTCCTCCTCATCCATCCCCACCACCATCACCAACTGCCCCAACCGCGCAAACCCGTCCCGCAAGCCATACCTCCCCCCCCTCGTCGCCTCCGCCACGATCGCCCCTACGTCCCGCTCCAGCCCCACCGCCCCGAGCGGCGTCACCCGCCCGTGCAGCCCCCACACGCGCTTCTCCAGCGCGGTCGCGAGGTACTCGGTGGTCAGCGAGAGGAGGCGGTCGGTGGGGCTGCCGGGGGTGGTGGCGGTGGAGGGGAGGAGGCGGAGGAGCGGGCGGAGGAGCGCGGTGTAGGCGCGGGTGAAGCGTTCGCGGACCTGGTGGGCGGGGTCATCTTCAGTGGGAGAGGATGAGGCAGCCGGGGGAGAGGTGGGGTGAGGGGCGGAGGGGGGGTCGTAGGCGACGTCGCGAAAGGTTTCGAGGAGGATGGGGCGGATGCGGGGTTTGATGACTTGGTGGAAGAGTACGTTGAGGCCGTCGGTGAGGAGGTCGTGGCATTTGGTGGTGAAGCTGGATTCAAGGGATTTGAGCTGCTGGATGACGAAGGTGGCGTCGTTGCCGAAGGGGAATTGGGTGTGGATTTGGGCGCCTTCTTGGGGGGGGGAGTCGGCGTTGGAGGGGTGGGAGGCAAGGTGGGAGCTGATGATTCGTTTTATGTAGTCGATAGAGACTTCGAGGTTGTTGATTTGAAGGATGAAGGCGATGATCTTGTCTTCGGGGGGTAACGCGCCGGCAATGGCGGCTTTCGGGTAGCATTCGTCACGCATTTTGCGCGTGGTCACGCCGACGAAATCGGAGCCGAGGACGCGAGCGAGCGTAGGGATTACGTTGGCTATGACGCTGCGTTGTGAGGTAGATAACGAGCGCTGAATGACCTGGTTGACAATGTACATGACATCGTCGACCGCGGACGTGATGAACGGTGCGTTTCCTGGCAAAGGCCTCTGCAGGGACAACGATAAATCCTGTGGAGGTTCGTCCAATTGGAAAGCCTTCTCGACAGATCGCCGGAAGAAGAAGGTCGTCATGGCATTGAAGGGATCGATCAGGATATTGATCACCTTTTTGTGTAGATGGCTCGTGATTAGGAAATCCGGCATCTTCAGCACAGTCTCTTCTTCCGACTCACCCTGCTCGGGACTCTTGGAGGCTAAGAACCTTGCGTACAACGCCCATCTTCCCATCATCACAGCCGATTCGCTGAGGAGCTGGTCAACCTCTTTCATATCGACCCCTTCATCTTCACTTGACCGTCCTGCAACTGCCCCGTCCTTGATCGCCGGAGAGCCGGACCGTGGAGGTCCCATCGATGGTCGCTGGGTAGGCAAGAAGCTTTGAACAAGGAACGAGTACGCGTATGACTTGATGTCGGTCAACTTTCGGTCGATAACGCGTTCTTCACTCCAGGTATCGAGGATAATGCCGCCTTGAACATCCGCCTCGACCTGAAGTCGCTCAATGACGGTGACCATCATTCCCACTCCATAATGTCGTTCCACCAGCGGTTCATGCCCATCCACAATCTGCGCAATGTGCTCAAACAACTTCGTCAACGTGCTGGCATAGAAGAACCCATCTTTCTTCTGCACGCCCGCACCCATATTCTGCCGCGCTCTTGCTGCCACCCCTTGACACACGTAGCGACCATACGCATTCAGCCCCACCTCCGTCCTCCCAATCAACGGAAACAGCTTGAAAAACCGCGTGATCCGTGCCCCGTCGCCTTCCGCCGCCGCCTTCTCGAACTCCCGCAAGAACAGCGCGCACAGCGACGCCGCCGCCGCATCCAGCGTCACCCGCGGCGCATCGGGCACCTCCGCGGTCGGCACGATCTCCTCGGCAAACGCGCCATCGACGACGTCGGCCGGGATTTTCGCCGCGCGGTGCAGATACGTCGCGGCCATCTCCCAGTCCTGGGGGGCGCCCATCGAGCCGTTGACGCCCAGCACGCAGGCTTTCAGCTCGGCGACCTGGTCGACGACGGCGAGCGTGGCTTTGACGTTGGCCTGCTCCTGGTCGAGGCGGGTGACGGCGCTGGAGATGCGGCTGGCAGTGGAGGCAGCGGCGGCGAGCATGCCATTGCTGATGGACCGGGTGTTGACGACCTGAGCGCCGAGCTGGGCACGGGAGAGGTCGAGGCGGCCGAGTTCGCGGGAGAGGTCTTTTTGCGAAGCGACGAGGGCGTTGAGGCGACTCGTGACGGATGCCTCGCGCCGCTGGAGGGAGGAGAGGATGGCTTGGATTTCGGCCACGGATTTGGCTTGGTGAATATCCATTTGTTGGCCATTCGCTTCATCGTCCATTTGGACATGCGTAGAGCGGGCCATTATGAGGTGAGCTGTTTCACGAGTCGCTTCGACTTTCGAGCTGTTCCAAATTCGAACAGCACCAAGATAGAAATCTAGCTGACGCGTGGCATTAATACTGGATATTTGGAGACTAGAACCTGGACCGGGAGATAATTCTTTGGCCAGAATCCCGACGCAGGTGGAACCCTGAAAGATGAAACAAGGGAGATCCACCGTCTCTCACATCTTCAGTCATGCTGTGTCTCGTCGATGCCCCAGCAACAGACGCGAACCTCCCATTTGCCCCATCGGGTTGTTGGACTGCACATGAGTTCTCACTGGCACTCGGAGGTGAGGCGAGGTAGTATCAGGCAATACCTCCGTACGTATGATTAATGCTTACTATTTACTGTTCATTCAATTCGCATTCTTTCCAGTCCGTCTTTGTGCAACGTTTCTATGAATGCAGTCTTCCACCTGTTCATTGGCAACATAATACCTTGTTCCCACGAGCCTTGTTGACCCCGAATCCCGTCATCCCGTCCTCCACAATTCCATACTTACCTCTTACTGCGCCTCCTCCTCCTAAGCTGAAACCTCGCTCTTTGCAAAACTCTTGTCGGCAATTAATATCCTCCTTCGGATTCGGTGTTTTTGCGTATATCTTTGAAAGTGAATCCCATTTCATCTCCAGTCTTTGCTCCAAGAGTTCTAGACCGCCATTGGACCAACTGCGGAGTTGCCACTCGACTCGACCTGCTCAGCCACCGGCGTCAATCTTGAATCTCGAAGGCGACGATCGGCGGGCAACCCTGGAACTTGGAATACATCGAATTCTACTCCGTATTGCGGGACAGGAACGGGTTGAAACTTGAAACCTGAACTGGAAGGTGACCACATATCACCGCAACGACAACGTACCACCCGACCGAGAACTCTTCATCCCATCGCAACATCACAACAGAATGCCGCCGCCACGATAAGACGCCAATACGATCTGAACCTACACCTAATACCCCTCCTGTCCATATGCGCACCGAAAGCAACGACATATCCCCGACTTTCCAACTCTCCACCTCACCGACCCTTCATTCACCCCCTATACATACTCGACATGATTCTCAACCCCGCGAATGCTGCCGTCGAGGGCGCACATCTATATATACGCAGCGGCGGGATCGGGGGGGACCCGGCCAACCGACCCCCGGTCTACAAAGTCGTCGGGATCGTCCTCGCAATCGCCTCGGGGCTGTTCATCGGCGTGTCGTTCGTGGTGAAGAAAGTGGGCTTGCTGAAGGCGAACGAGAAATACAATGAAGAGGCGGGCGAGGGGTATGGATATCTCAAGAACGCGTGGTGGTGGACCGGCATGACCCTGATGATCGTCGGGGAGATCTGCAATTTCGTTGCGTATGCGTTCGTCGATGCCATCTTGGTGACGCCGCTGGGGGCGCTGTCTGTCGTGGTGACCACGATCCTGTCAGCGATCTTCCTGAAGGAACGGCTGAGTTTCGTGGGGAAGGTCGGGTGCCTCAATTGCATTCTCGGTTCAGTGGTGATTGTTGTTAATGCGCCGTCCCAGTCGGCCGTGGCAACCATCCAGCAGATGCAGCCGTTGGTGATATCGCCCGGGTTTCTTACCTATACGGGCGTCATAATCGTGGGGTGCATCTTCACCGCGTTCTGGGCCGGTCCACGATGGGGGAAGAAGAGCATGATGGTGTACTTGACCATCTGCAGTACCATTGGCGGACTTAGTGTTGTCGCAACGCAAGGTCTCGGTGCGGCGATTGTCGCACAGGCCGGTGGTACGCCACAGTTCAACCAGTGGTTCCTCTATGTCCTGTTGGTATTCGTCATCGCGACACTGGTCACCGAGATCATCTTTCTCAACGTACGTTCCTCTCCCCGGTCCCCTATTCACTCTAACCGTCCCCAGAAAGCCTTGAACCTCTTCAACGCCGCACTCGTCACGCCCACCTACTACGTCTTCTTCACCAGCTGCACCATCATCACCTCTGCCATCCTCTTCCGCGGCTTCAAAGGCACTCCCGCCCAGATCGCCACCTGCGTCTTGGGCTTCCTCCAAATCTGCGCCGGCGTCGTCCTCCTCCAGCTCTCCAAATCCGCCAAAGACGTCCCCGACGCCGCCGTCTTCAAAGGCGATCTCGACCAAGTGCGCACCGTCGCCGAGCAAGAAGAGCCCGAATCCGAGCCCCGCGCCGACTCCATCCGCGGTGGCGCCGCCATCCTCCGCTCCCTTTCCTCCGCCCGGCAGCATCGCCAGATCGAAGAAGCGAAGCGCCTGCATGACGAGCGCATGGAGCCGATCCGCGAAGGCGAGCAAGTCGAATGGGACGGCCTCCGACGCCGAAAAACCGTCCACGACCCCGGCCACCCCACTACCCTCCAACGCAGCAAAACCGTCCACCCCCCCCTCGGCATGTCGCACTTCCCCAGCGATGCCTCCGACACCGACTCCGACTACCACCCCGGCTTCTTCAGCAAATTCTCCCTCCGCCGCCGCGGTGACTCCACCAGCACCGCACCCAACCGCTCCCTCCCCCTCTCCTCCCTCCCCCCCGACCACTCACCCACCACCAGCACCGACCGCACCACCTCCACCCACGTCTACGGCCTCCCCTCCGGCCTCCGCAAAGTCTCCGACCCCGACTCCTCCAAACCGCCCGCCGTCTCCATCCAATGGGCCCCTTCCGTCGACGCGCCCCCATCATCCCCACCCACCCCGCCACCACACGGCACCGATTCCGGTCGCCGCCAATTCTCCTTCCAAAACGTCTTCCACCGCCACCGCAGCGACGATGGCCCCACCTACCCGCACGACGCGGCCGCAGGCCACCCCGCCGCGGCGTCGTCGCCGGTGCTCGGGAAGTCGTTGCTCCATGGCGAGCGGCGTCCGGGGTTGCGGGGCGCGCTGTCGTTTAATCGGAAGGACAGCTCGGGGCCGGGGACGACGGAGGAGGAGCGGTTGGGTTTGGTGAGTGGGGATTCACGGACGTTGGAGGAGGAAGGGGTCGGGGGGCGGAGGGAGGAGGGGGAGAGTGAGAATTTGGGGTATAGCGATGATGAGGCGTGGGAGGTGCCAGGGAGGGAGGAGAGGAAGAATAGTGAGGATGAGAGTGAGTTTAGTGAGGTGGATGAGAAGGTGGAGGAGTGGGAGGCGTATCGGAGGCATAGTAGACCCGAAGGAGGGGATGGTGGTGGTGGAGAAGGACAGGGAGGTGCGAGTAGCGGAGGGCCGGGCGCGGCACCTGGAGCGTTTGTATGATTTGGTTTCCCTTTTTTTGGATACATACCGGCCTCTGTGGAGTGTATACTTTCCTGGATTCTCACTTCGTGGATCGGATGGTTCCGGCGACCCGGTTGGCATGGCTTGGGATCTCTCCCTCCTCGAGTCGATGCTCGATGACGATGTCTATGACTTGCGCCGGATGCATGCATCTCTGGATCATGAGTTCATGGCTGCAATGCGCGATGGATTTCCTATATGCATTAGTTTTTTGGCGGCGTGTACGAATACAGAACTCATGGAAGGGATGCTTCCTAGGCCTTTTCGCAACAAATCTAGCTCTCCTGAAATACGCCGATATGCTGGATTGTCCCTTACATCCCGTCGATCCTGATCGGTACCCTGATCATCGGGATATCGGATAGTTCTTCCACGCCACACCACTATATCTCCGAATCTCGAACAATGTAGCGGTATTGTAACCCTCGCCTCCATCCGCCGCACCAATCAAACCCATTTCCCCCAAGCCCCATCCTAGCGTCGATCCCCATCCAAACGCCACACACGCCGATCCCTCGATTCTACACGACCCGAACCCTCCTCCATCCTCCATCCACCATCCAGCACCTATACTGACTAATAGCTAATTGCTATTATGCAAGCCGTACGAAAGGAGGATATGCTAAGCGAAACGACCGCGAACTAGCGCCCCTGCAACCGGACGATCCACCGCGCGAGGGAACGCCAATCGACGACGACAAAGCATGGCGGATAGTTTTCGGAGGCTTCGTGAAGGATCGGAGACTTAGTTAGGGGGTGAAATGGGGAGCGATGGATGGCCTTACCCATGCCGAATCGCCGGTAGTGGGGACGGTGGAGTTGGGAGTTGGGACGGGGAAAGTAAAAGGTTGGTGTGGGATTTCACTGATTTGGGAAGGGTTGTGGCTCTCTACCAGATAGGGAACTAGTAAATCAGTGGAGTGCGGTGGTTAGAAATTAGATAAAGACGACGTCAACCGCCGCACCAGATGGTGCGGTCGAGTTGATCTTTCTCTTCAACTACACCACACAATCCTACAGAGACAGATCATTAGCAGCGTTCCTCGAAAACCTGATTCACCATGTGCCGTCAAGCCACCTGTGACAAATGCAGTACGTCTCCGCCCTCCCTCTTACCGCTGCAGCACCCCGATACTGACCTCCAACCCAGACAAGGCGACGTGGTACGGATGCGGCTCGCATGTCTCCACCGTCTTCAGCTCGATCCCAAAATCCGACCGCTGCAGCTGCGAGCCGAAGGTCGTCAAAGACGGGAATGAATATCCGGTAGGTTCCCCCCCTCCATGACCGGTGATGGGCGGTATGGCTGACTTGTTATGTGTTCGCTTAGCCGATGGCTTCGAGTCCGAATTGACGACGAAGACTTTGGGAGTGGTGAGGTCCGATAGATGGGACTTGTCGTTCAGGGAGGGTGATGAGGTCCGGGTGCTCTTGTAGAGGGAGGCCTGGAGGGGCTACAGGTGGGCGCGATACGATGCTCGAGCGGTACTTTTTCTTGGAAGACCACCACGCAAACTAGACTATCGGAGGAATAATGGGCGGTAGCTTTACTCCTGATGGATATACCCTGCATACGAACATACAGCAATCTGGCTGGGTTTCACGGCCGTGGAGTTGGTAGACATGATGATCCAGATACATGGATACGAAGTGCTTCCCTTCCGCGTGAATGACACAATGAAATCCGATTTTCTTAACCATCTTGACACTAGAAGAACGTGACTGAGACCATGACTGAGACCCCGACGATGTCGCTAAACGACGACGACGTGAGAGCGTTTCGTTTGTGAACTGTGAACGGGCATCTTAATGACGGCAGCGACTCATCCGGCCGCGGATTGCAACACTGTAGACCAAGGGCATGACATGGAACGGGCTAAAACTCGACCCAATCATCCTGACACCAAACGAAAGACTCAGATATACAGTGTACAGTACGGTAAAGCCCGCAAAGGTCACTAAAGGAGACCGGGCAAGATTCTGGAACCATGGTTTCAAAAACCTCTACGAATGGTTTCGGACAGCCTGAGCGGGCTGGTCCGCTGGTGGGCCCGCCAACGTTGGTGGCTTGGTCCTTATGAACCCTAGATTGGAACGGGATCCAGCAGCAGCATGTGATGACTGGGACGGGTACCTTGGTATTCTCGGAAAATATTAAAAAACTAGCACGGTTGAGGAATAACTATGGGATTGGGGAGGACTCGATATGGGGCATCAAATATGCAAAGGATAAGGATCCATTCAGGGCGGCTGTCGCAAATGTGATGCACACGGGATCCAACATGATCTGGATACTTGTGACCAGTGACACGGTTTCTCGTATGCTGAGTGGCTGGGTAGCCGCCAACCAACTATTCTCGATATTAGTCGGTACCCGTGTTTGAAACGGGGAAGGTTCGGCGAGTCGAAGGACTGCTGCTATTCATGGACGTCCTCCTATGGCGTGACGGTAGGTTGGAGTTGGGAGTTTGGAACTGTTACTCAAATCATGGGTGATGGTTGAGGTTAGTGGGTTTGAGACTTTGAGTAAGGTCCAGACAAGCTCGTCACTCCATAGAGACAAGAGATAGCCCGTTTCTCTGCTGTCTCTCATCAGTGTCTCAACTCTCAACGTTGAGAGGACATGCTGGTTCGGGGATTGAGATTGTGTAGTATCTGAATGGAGTTCTTAACAGAGAGGCGGCCCCAGGAAGCTGCCCTTGATCTCATAACTATGCTATTCGATAGACTATCATCATTTATTCGCCGACCTTGCAATCCATTATCCATCGACCCCCGAAGTTGCGTGGCTGGTAACCTGTAACCAGTATTAGTGTGTGACAGTGTGAGGCGGACATCCTGTGGCCGCATTTTAGGCCAGCCTTCTAATGAGCCAACTGAACGGCCCCGCACATCAGATGCATCCACATATCCCCATCTGAACATCCCTCCATTCCATACATTAATCCGACGACTCTCTCTCGACAAAGTCGTTGTCTCTTTGCCTTGGATTCCATATTGCAAGATAGGATCAAGTCGCTGCAGACTCTCTTCACGTTGTTTTCCTGAACAGGATCGCTTTCCTCGAGGATCGCTTCGACTTCCGATCACGGCGCTTGTAGCATTCGGACCCCTCATTGATCATCCTCCGATCCTGTTGCTGTTTGCGAACCGCTGCTCCGAGCAAACTTGTGGGAAAGTTTACAGACTTAAAAGACTTGGAGAGACGGAGCAGGCTGTTCACTGTTTGATACCCCGATCTTGAGCTGGAAACCCGAGGGGCGCGGAGGAGTTATTGTAAGTCCTATTGACTCAGCCTCACAAACCTCCATATCTTCGTTCAATTTGCGACTCGAGATCACTCGAATGCATGTATATTGATGGTTCTGGGAACAAGCTCAAAGCATAAGCTGTCTGCGCTGTTTTGCCTGGCTCCGTCTATTAATGGTCGTCTCTTGTGGTGGGACACAATTTCCTCAATGGCGGCGCTGATAGTGAACACAATAGACTCTTTGTTGACTTGATTGTCAATAGGATTGGAATTCAACCAATTCACCGCACGAAAATCATTGGCTTTGACGGACTTCCGCTTGCGGTTCTTTCACCTTCACTCATTCCGCACCACTTCACCCCTCTATTTTGCCTGCGTCTTCGCACAATCAACAACAACACACCTTCGACACGCATAGCTACATCGAATCCGATCTCGAGACAAAATGTCTCGCGCACAGCCTCCGGGCTCCCGGAAGATATCGTTCAATGTGTCGGAGCAATATGACATTCAGGATGTCGTTGGCGAGGGAGCATATGGCGTCGTCTGGTACGTTTCCCGGACGAAAGTCCAGTGTTATGATCATAACGGCAATTAACGACGAGTGCAGTTCGGCCATCCATAAACCCTCCGGCCAGAAGGTTGCGATCAAGAAGATCACCCCGTTCGATCACTCCATGTTCTGTCTTCGCACCCTGCGCGAAATGAAGCTGTTGCGCTACTTCAACCATGAGAACATCATCTCGATCCTTGACATCCAGAAGCCCCGTAGCTTAGAGACCTTCACCGAAGTCTATCTCATCCAAGTATATCTTCCAGAACATCCATTGCCATCCACCCATCACTAATCGCCCCAAAGGAACTCATGGAAACCGACATGCACCGTGTCATCCGCACCCAAGAGCTCTCCGACGACCACTGCCAGTACTTCATATACCAGACCCTCCGCGCTCTTAAAGCCATGCACTCCGCCAACGTCCTGCACCGCGACCTGAAACCCTCCAACCTGCTGCTCAACGCGAACTGCGATCTGAAGGTGTGCGATTTCGGCCTCGCTCGCTCCGCCGCCTCGACCGAGGACAATTCGGGGTTCATGACCGAATACGTCGCGACCCGGTGGTACCGTGCCCCGGAGATCATGCTCACGTTCAAGGAGTACACGAAAGCGATCGACATTTGGAGCGTGGGGTGTATCTTGGCGGAGATGTTGAGCGGGAAGCCTCTGTTCCCCGGAAAAGACTGTAAGTCAAGCTAAGTTCCAACATGCCAAGTCCCGCCTAATTGAATCTAGACCACCATCAACTGACCCTCATCCTCGACGTGCTCGGTACCCCCACCATGGAAGACTACTACGGCATCAAATCTCGCCGCGCCCGGGAATACATCCGCTCGCTCCCGTTCAAGAAGAAGATCCCATGGAAGGTCATGTTCCCAAAGACGTCGGACCTCGCGCTGGATCTTCTGGAGAAGCTGCTCGCCTTCAATCCCGTCAAGCGCATCACCGTCGAAGAGGCGCTGAAGCACCCGTACCTTGAGCCGTACCACGACCCTGACGATGAGCCGACCGCCGACCCGATTCCGCCGGAGTTCTTCGATTTCGACAAGAATAAGGATACTCTGACAAAGGAGCAGTTGAAAGGTATTTATCCATCCTCGATCTCGTTTCAACTCCCGCTAACATCCCCTCTCCAGTTCTGATCTACCAAGAGATCATGCGGTGAGCCGGCTACGAGAAAAACGATCCCCCCATCTTCCCACGAATATTTTTATCTTTATCATCTGAGCAGATTTGTTGACATAATGGTTTCCTTTCTTTTCTATCTAGCTTCAATCAAGAGGAAGACAAGCGTTGCGAGCGTGAGCGCGCCGAGCAAGCTGCCCTAGAATCCATGACGGCCGGGCTGCAAGTCACCGGCCTACCTGTTCCGCACTCCATCTTTGGCGCTTGACGTTGTTGTTTTGGTTTTCGGTTCGGTGGAGAATGCGGTGGGATGCGCGCCGTCGTCGTCGGGGTAAGGGGATGGTTCAGGGGCCAGGTCAAACGGGATGGGTGGATGGATAGATGCACCGATGGATTTTCGGCCCACGCAACGACGCGATTCAGAATCTTAGAACGTTGAACACTTCACTCCGTGCCTTTTTCTCCTTGTCATGGGACGCTGTATCCGGGTGCAATTCAACGATCTCTCTCGACTTTCTTCGTTGGCGGGTGGGTCGGTGGCATAGGGGGATAGATCATTCGACGGGGTTTGGCTCGGTCTGTTCGTCTTGGCAGATATGTACCCATTGTAATGAAAGCGATGCCAACCATTCCTGACTTCGCCTCTATCTCTCTACCGTCCTCTCTTGATCTCCGAACCCCCCGTATACTCCTTCTAACCCCCCTCTTTCCCCATCCTCCTCTCAAACCCTCACCCCCCGACTCCTCATTACATTCACCAAATTCCTCCCCGCATACCCCACCCACTCCCCCACATCCCCCAGCGCCTCCCCACCCACTCGCAGCTCCTCCAACCGATCGTCCAGAAACCGTGCCGTGTCGCGGAAGTCCGTACTCTGGTCCTGCGTCTGGTAGAGCTCCGCGGCGGCGTACAGCGCGCCGGTGGACGCGCGCTTCGTGTACCAGGCGGTATCGAGGGAGGTGTCGCCGGCGAGGTGGAGGATGTCGGAGGAGAGGGTGAAGAGGGCGGTGAGGGAGGCGGGGATGTGGGTGGGTTGGGCCATTATTGCGAGGGCCTATTGTCGTTGTTAGCACACGCTCCGGTCCGTCATTTACTACCAACCGCCTCCACCGAGGCATGAGAGGCGGTCGGGGAACAACCACAGTGCGGAAAAACACCGAATCGAACTTACCTCATGCAGTCTCCCCACCACCGCCTCATTCCCCCTCAACCTTGCCCACAACAAGCCCCTCACCCGCTCCCCAACCCCCAACTCCCCCTCCCCCTCCACAAACTGCACCTCACTCCGCAACGCCAACCGCCTCGTCGCCAGATGAAACAACACCAAGTCAAAAACGCCGTTCGGCAGCAAGTTCGTCGACACGTCGAGGAAGCCCGCGTCGCGCGCGCCGAGGGTGAGGGTGGTCGGGGTGAAGCCGGAGGTGGGGACGCGGAGGAGGGAAGCGGTGAGGATGGCGGTTTCGGTGGGGGGGTAGGGGGCGGGGGAGGGGGCTGTGGGGTCGTGGTAGTGGCGAGGGTGGAGGAGGGGGGTTAGAGAGCGGGCCGGGGGGGGGAGGGAGCGAGGGAGGCGACGGAGGGAGCGGGTGAGGGTGGTGGTTGGGATGGACATGGTGGTAGATGGGAAAGGAGGGGAGGGTGGATTAAATAGAGGAGATAAAGGAGGACAAGACGAGCTTCGTTATTGGTTATGAGGGTTAGGACATGTCCTGTTGATGTCCTGTTGAATGGCGCCAGATGAAAAGATGGAAGGGATGGAAACATGAAAGTATGGTATAAAACATAAATTACACTATAAAATCAAGCAGACTCTCTAATCCTCTATATGGCCTTGGCAGACTAACCCTCTTGGGTGATGTGGAGTGTCCCTGTGTAAAGGAACGAGCGTTACGGCGGAGTAACTACAGTAATTAGATGGGACTAGAATGGGAACTGGGAAGGTAAGTTAATAGATATATGAATTTGAACGACCAGCCGCGCATTCATGTTTTTTTATGACCTCCATCTGAGACGATCTTGAACGGAAGTCAGCCGTATGGATCATCGACTTATCGACATTATATGCTAACTACAATGATATTAAACATGTAAGAGATGGAGAGGGGTCGCAAATTATCTGCGTCGCTAAACCACAATTCGATCGACATCAGCTGGTCTTGGTGCAGCTCGGCCTCGCGCTTCCGAAAGCTCCTGCGCAGCCTTGTGCCTGGTCACAATGTTCATCGCAGTCCGTCTTGGTGCGTCTATGATTCAGTTAATATGTCGTTCGAATGTTCCAGAATAGCCGTCACAATTCCTCGATAACGACAATCTCTGTCGATTCGGAGTACTGTGGCCCACGATGCGCCTCTTAAAGCTCAACGGCAACGGGGGGTTCATTCTAGAGACCTTTGGAACCACGATCCCTCCTTATGCCATACTTTCTCATACATGGGGAAGCAACAGCGATGAAGTCACATTCAAGGACGTCGTGGACGGTACTGGAAATAATAAGGCTGGATACCAGAAGCTGATATTCTGCGGAGATCAAGCCAAATCCGACAGTCTATCCTATTTCTGGGTGGACACATGCTGCATCGATAAGTCAGATACCAACGAACTTACGAAGGCGATCAACTCCATGTTTCGCTGGTACCAGAATGCGGCGCGATGCTACGTCTATCTTTCAGACGTTTCTGTAAGCACGCAAGGTGGCCAGGCTACTAATATCGAGTGGGAGTCTTCTTTGCGCAATAGCCGATGGTTCACACGAGGATGGACACTCCAAGAGCTTCTCGCGCCGAGAATAGTCGAATTTTACTCCCGAGATCACGTCCGATTAGGTGATAAAAAGTCACTCGAACGGCCTGTCTGCGAGAAAACAGGAATCGCCATAGAGGCACTACAAGGCCGTCCTCTCCATGACTTCAGCGTCAAGGAGAAGTTTCGATGGGTAGAGAAGCGACAAACGACCGAGGAGGAGGACATGACATACTGTCTCCTTGGAATTTTCGGCGTTTTCTTGCCACTGATATATGGTGAAGGGAAAGAGAATGCAATGAGAAGGCTGCGACGAGAGATCAAGGACTCAGAGCATAAATCGCGGTCATGTGAGGTCTTTGTTATCAATTTTGCATCTCCATTTGCTAATGTACTCCATTGTTTAGACGAAAAGCTAGCACGTACTATGCCCTTCGAGCGCAATCTTCGCTTCACCGGTCGCGAATCCGAGCTTTCTAGAATTGAAAAACTACTTTTCCGACATGACCAAACCGTAAAGATCGCCATTACAGGACTTGGAGGCGTAGGGAAGACACAATTGGCGATCGAGACGGTCTATCGGACCATGGAGAAACAGAGGGACTGCTCAGTATTTTGGATTCCCGCGACCGATCCTGAAACCCTTCTTCAGGCATTCTCGGCAGTCGCCGAAGAGTTGGATATACCTGGAAGAGATGAGCAAGGAGCAGACGTGAAGCGTCTAGTTCAGAATTACCTCAGTAACGAGGGCGCGGGCCAGTGGCTCATGGTGTTTGACAACGCCGACGACATGGATATGTGGATAGGAAAACCAGCTGAGAAACAATCTATCCGTCTCCTCGACTACCTTCCAAAGAGCAGGCAAGGAAGCATCCTCTTTACTACGCGAGATAGGAAGGTTGCTACTAAGCTGGCGTCTCAGAATTTGGTAGAAGTCCAAGAAATGAACTCAGAGGTGGCTTCGGAGCTATTACAGAAATGCTTGATCGGACACGATATAGCGGCCTGCCAAACAGATACCGAAACCTTGCTTATACAGCTGACTTACCTTCCGCTCGCCATTGTTCAGGCGGCAGCGTATATTAATGCGAACGGCACCTCGATCGCGGACTATCTTTCCTTACTTAATGAGCAGGATGAGTCTATAATTGAACTTCTGAGCGAAGACTTTGAAGATGACGGCAGATACCGCAATATTAAGAACCCAGTGGCCACAACATGGCTGATATCGTTCGAGCGAATTCAACAGCACGATTCTTTGGCAGCAGACTACTTATCTTTAATGGCATGCATTGAGCCAAAAGAAATCCCGCAGAGTTATTTTTCCCCTGGCCCATCTCGCAAGAAGGAGATAGACGCTATCGGGACGCTTCACGCCTATTCATTTATTACTAAACGTCCAACAGGTCTTACGGTCGATCTTCATCGGTTAGTACATATAGCTACTCGGAACTGGCTTCAAGAGAACGATCAACTGGTACGGTGGACAGACAAAGCAGTCGTACGACTAGAGGAAGTTTTTCCCGACAATACCCACACCAACAGGAGCAAATGGAGGGCATACCTGCCGCACGTGCGCGCTGTACTACAGTCTGACCTCCTTCAGAAGAATTCGGAGAAGAGGACAGATCTCCAATGGAGATATGGAACCTGCCTCGACGCCGACGGACGATGGAGTGAGGCAGAGGTCGCTTATTCCCAGGTCCTCAAGATAGAAGAGAAGGAGCTGGGCGCAGATCATCCTTCCACGCTGACCATCATGGCCAACCTGGCGTCGACGTACAGGAATCAAGGCCGATGGAAGGAGGCCGAAGAGCTGCAAGCGGAGGGGTT